TTTGTCTCGCGGCCACGAATTGGAAGCGAGACTAAGGTGTTGCTTTTCCGGCGACGGCAGCGACGGCGTCAACATTACGTTTTTGCGTGTAAGTTAGTTTCTCTGAAAGTATAAGTGCTAGACCAACAAAACTTGGACCATAGATGCATCTTATATTAGGTAGTACATCTCAACCCATGCATCAAATGCTGGATGTGGCTTACCTTTCATGGTCCATTGACAGCATCTCCATCAACATTAAGTTTTTGCGTTTAAGTTAGTTTATCTGATATTTGCATTGATGGTCAAAGCGGGGAATAGGCGAGACATATCAATCCGAATGGCTTGTTTTAATATAAATTGATTTTATGGTTTAATGCAGATATTTGTAGCATGTGAAGCTTGGAACTTTACCCCTCCAAATACCTTGTTTTCCCGGGATATATTGCTATGTTCACTATTTCTTTCCTATTTTTGTCTCCTCTTGGAACTGTTGTTTCATTTTCGTTTACATATCCACGATGTTGCCCTTTTGTGCTGAGACTGTGCTATACATTGTGCTAGGTAACATGAAGCTTAAAACTAACAATACATGTTCTATGACAATCGTTTACACTCTAATTTACTATCTGACGTGTTATATACCTTTTCCTATTTTCCTCGCTGAATCGTTCAGGTTGAAACTCTAGAGGGTCTGTGAAATACTCCTCCAGGTTGGACAGAACGTACATGCTGAACTGAAAGCAATATTAAATGCTATGTTTTTGATAACAAAATCTCAATAAATATCTATTAAAGACGACAATATATGTTCATAATGACAACCTGATTCCTATTCGGTTTCCTTCATATATCAGAAACTTATTAGAAAAGAAAAAAAGAAAAAAAACCCAGAAAAGAACATTTCGATGAAATAAGTACGATTATGTATGACACTTGAAGGCCTCAATTTATGCCTTCTGTACCAATAATCGAAGCCATCAGTTTCAGATAAACATAAAATCCCACCTACACAGACAGATGTTTCCTTCGGTATTGGGAAACCGTCGATGACATCATTTTGATTAGTCTCCCGGTAGGTGGCAGCACTGGGTGGATATCGTCGTAGTGTTTCCTGTACAACCATATCCAGGTAGGGTAGCTTACCTAGATCTTCGAATTCAACGGAAGTTTTTTCGCCAACAACCTGGTCTATTTCATCTCTAAGTCTAGGATAAAATGATAACCGACCTTCATATCAGAAATCATAGTAAATTGTCTGTAAACCTTGAATGGTCAAATTCAAAAAGTTGAAAGAAAAGACCTTCTACCGGTTTCTAAGGACTTGTTGTGATCATACGAGGAGTTCGTCAATTTCACTAGGAATCATGATAGTTGAAGTTGTTTAGTCATGTACAATTAAAACAAATTACTTCATCTGAAAAGTCATTGCATTCCTCATTTTGTTTTATCTTCTTTGACTCGTTTTTACATCATTTTGAGCACACTTATTTTAGAGATAAGGATGGCACACTTATTTTAGTGATAAGGATGGCACACTTATTTTAGAGATAAGGATGGCACACTTATTTTAGAGATAAGGATGGCACACTTTTTTTTAGAGAAAAGGATGGCACACTTATTTTAGAGATAAGGATGGCACACTTATTTTAGAGATAAGGATGGCACACTTGTTTTAGGGATAAGGATGGCACACTTATTTTAGAGATACGGATGGCACACTTATTTTAGAGATAAGGATGCTGCAACGCGTTAGTTTCAAAGGAATTAATTAGTATTAGATCGAAATTTATAATTACTACATTAGCGCGTGTTATAGAGAGTTGAAGATGCAAATCATGTTTCTTCATAATTGTCGTCATTGCTAGGAAATATGAGTGTTCTACTAGAAACACGTTTACAGTACCACGTCATATTTTACAGAATTTTTACCTTTTTAAAACATGAGGGTATTTTCCAAGGCATATCAAACAGAAAGACAAAAGACATGACGTTGTTTCTTGGCCTGAAATACAAAACGACAGCAGATAAGACAAAGGTTCTTAGATTGATATATAATAATAGCAGAACAAGACATTGTTTCTTGGTGTGAAATACAAAACCCAAACTAAATAGAGTGTTGTTTCCTTGCATGCAATTTGTAATGACAATAGACAGGGCATGGTGTCTATCTGTAATATCAATAGACAGGGCATGGTGTCTACCTGTAATGACAATAGTCAGGGAATGGTGTCTCTCTGTAATGACAATAGACAGGGCATGGTGCCTATCAGTAATAACAATAGACAGGGTACGGTATCTATGTGTAATGACAATAGACAGGGCACGGTGTCTATGTGTAATGACAATAGACAGGACATGGTGTCTATGTGTAATGACAATAGACAGGGTACGGTGTCTATGTGTAATGACAACAGACAGGATACGGTGTCTATGTGTAATGACAATAGACAGGGTACGGTGTCTATGTGTAATGACAATAGACAGGGCACGGTGTCTATGTGTAATGACAATAGACAGG